TTATTCAGATCACATGTAGCAGATGTATAATTGTATCGTTACTCTTGTCGTTCATTTGATATATTTTCGTTTCGGTTATTTGTATCACACGAGCTAATTGAGGTAATCGCGTCCATCGTGTCAGAAGCGTTAATTCTGTTGACGGTGATAATCATTCGGTATCGTGTTCACGAGATTCGTCCATTTTGCGATCCATGTACCACCTAGTGGTCAAGCACATAAACTAAAGTTAACTCTGAAGGTACAGCCTTGACTTAAATTGCATTTTCTTCTACAATACTTATGGAAGGTAATGTACCAGTGCAATGATTAATTACCCTTCGAAGGCAACTTATCGGAATATTTCATTGCTTTTGCGACTTAAAACTTGAACAGTAGGTCGCAAGGAACGCTGGTAAAGACCTGGTAACACAGGAGTGTCTGCAGAACATCTGATTTTGTGATTCGGTGTCAGCTGCATTTTTCGAGTGAATTTACACGTGTCATTCTTGATGGCTTGAGTAATTCAAGTCATGGATAAAGATTTGCAACGATGCCTGGATTTATTGAAGGAGAACGAGGACCATGTGCGAGTCGACGCCGAAAGCGCGTTATTAACAGTATGTCAGAATATATTATCCCACCCGAATGACAAGCAATATCGAGAAGTGTATCTCGATAATCCTGTAGTAGAAAAATTGCTGCCTGCTGCTGGAGCCATGGAATGCATGTTCGACATCGGTTTCGTGGAGGTAGTTACACTGGAATAGAACTTCTTGTATACTCCTAAGCTCCATACTCCAATTTCTGTTACATGAACTTATTGAATATCCTTTTTCTTCTACTCCACAGGGTGCAGACTCTCTCATCTTACCACAAGAAGCACCGATATCGAAATTACAAACGCTCCAAAACTTGCTTTCCAAAAAGTCTTCTGTTAAGAGAAACACAGTCAATAAAACGATAGCTTATTACTTGTTACCTGAAACATCAGATCCTAAAGAAAAAGCTTTTCTGGCATCGATTATACACCAGTTCCAAAATGTTCTGCAATACGAGGATCCTAATTTGCAAGCAAAAGCAAGGAGAGTGATACCTGTTACGGATCTTGAAATTGCTACCATGAATAGATTCAGAGAATTGCAAAAGTATTAACTTATATATTAGGGGGACCAGAAAGTAATGTCATTCTGTGAATGTCAATACTTGTTTATCATATATCAGCTCATTGTATACCAGTTGATTTTTATCGATCAGATATTGAAAATTTGCACACTAGATAACAAAAGGTTGTTGATAACAAGGGCGATTACATAATTGATTAAAAATAAAAACTTGTTATAAATTTATTTGTTTGAATTTAATGTAAAAGATACGACATTACTTTCTGGTCACCCCAATATTACAAAAGTATTCTTTTACTGTCCATTTGTCTTTAAGTTTCCATTTCATCGTTTCCTCTCTGTTGAATTGTTTTACAGACTAGTGAAAATGAGTCAAAGAAATCCAGGAAAAAGCACTGAGAGACGATACAAGGAAACTGATTTTGATGTGAGAGATTTATTTCTCATGGAGCTCTCACACTGGTTTACATACAAGTTCTTTAAGTGGGTCGACAGTCCAGTGTGTCCTGAATGTTTGAACAGTTGCGAATATCATAAAGTCGTACCTTCCATGGATCCTAGGTGTTCACGAATAGAAATACACAGGCAAGTATCTTTGATTCATCTCACGAATCTATAATCCATTTATTCAGTCGTTTGATAATTTATTTTTCATTGCAGATGCACGAAATGCGACAAGTTGGTCAAATTTCCTCGCTACACTGATCCGGAACCCTTGCTATCTTTACGACGTGGACGTTGCGGCGAATGGGTCAACGTATTCACGCTTTTTTGTCGAACGCTGGGCTACGACGCGAGATTCGTATGCGATAAAACGGATCACGTTTGGACAGAGGTGTGCAATAACAGCTGTCCTTACACTATTATTCCAATTTATACGTAGTTTTAACAAAAACATACAGTGGGTGTAGAATGTATTCGTACACCGATCAATTTCCCAAAAAACTTTTGTGTGAAATTGTAGTTTCTCAACTTCTTCTTTTATAATCAATGATATTTTACATATTCTCGAAAGTCTCCAAGATAGATATAGTCCAAACAACATTTACTAGTTAATATAATTTGTGAAATTAACAAAAAAATATGCAAAAAGTGGGTAAAGTATAGAAGCAATAAGTATTTGTACGACTCTTATGACTAGACTGCGGATCTATATGCAAAATAAAATCTTCGCGAAGGTGCCTACAAAGATTGAACCTACATAGGAATTTATTTTATTCTGCAAATATTACAACATGAACTTTATTTTCAATCTTTTCTATATTCTTGCATATTGTTTGCATTTTGTAGGTTCTTGCAAATTCAAATTTCCTGTAAATGGATAAAGATCCGCAGCCTACTTGTGACGAACCATTTACAGTAGAGTTTGTAACGTAAACACATTAGTTTATTGCACCGTACGAATTAGAAAACCTTAAATTTCCATTAAAGTACTTTCAAAAATGGCTCTAATAGAGGAATTGAAAAAGATCTCACTTCGAAAAGGTAATAATTTAGTTAATCTAACGCTTAAAAGAGTTGCAATAATTATAAAATCAAGAAGTATCATATACTTGTAAATTAATGTAAATTTCTTTTTTTTTTTAATGAAGTTTTAAATATTAAACAGTTGTGCGAATACTTATTGCTTCAACATTTCTATCGATTAATTGTTTTTTTCTTCTTAATTTCGCAACTTACGTAAATATCTATTTCTTTTATAATCTATCTATTCTAGAGATTTCCAAGAATATGTAGAATGTCATTGTTTATAAAAAAATAAGTTAATAAATTATAATTTTACATAGTTTTTTTTGGGAAATTGATCGGGTGTACGAATACTTTTTACACCCACTGTAAATCGATGTTTCAGGTATGGTCGATAAATGAGAACAGATGGATTCACATAGATCCGTGCGAGGATGTCATGGATCGTCCGTTGATGTACGAAAAGGGTTGGAAGAAACAACTGACTTACATAATAGCTTATTCAAAGGACGAAGTACGAGACGTTACTTGGCGTTACACGCGTAATCAATTAGCTGTAATGAAAAGACGAAAGCTCTGTACCGAAAAGAACTTGATGCAGCTCATCGAGTCGCTGAATAAGCATCGCCAGTGTTCCCCTAATTACAGCGCTTCTCGCAGGCAATACGTGCGTAAACGAGAGCTCATGGAGCTCGCGGAATTGATACGCGTACCTGGCGAACAGAATTACGATGACGGCGAAACTTATCGAGGAAGGTCTACTGGCTCTTACTCATGGAGATTAGCGCGAGGGGAAATTTCCCAGGTATTACCTTGGATGTTTCCTTCAAGTTCTCCATTCGAGTGTTCAAGCTACAAATCACGCTTTTTTTTCAGGAAAGTACGGCAAACTTTTCTTGGAACGTATCAAAATATGGAGAAACGTTCCAATTATATTATTCCGTTATTAAAGACACGTACAAGGTGACGAGTAACGATGGTAAAATATTAGAAACCGTGACGGGTTGGCAAAATGGCGCGAATAGCGAAGAAGGTGGAATATTCCGTAAATTGGAAAACGATTGGAAAATGGTATATCTAGCTCGTTCTGTGGGAAGCACTCGAGGCCATGTAAAATGGAATTTCGTGGTAACAAATCCAAATTTATGCGTGTCCACGTTCGGTTTACGAGCTATGGTGACAACGTTTCACGGGGCAAATATATCCTGGCAAATACAGGCATTTTTCGATGATACCCCTCAAAGTAAATCATTAATGCTTCCTATTAACGATTGTACGAATTATCATACGGACCAATTGAAGGGCTCGGTTAAATTGATTCTAACAGCAACAGTTTCCGGTGGCCAAGGCGATTGCGCGTGGCAGCACGCGCAACTATTTCGCCAAAGTTTAAACGCTGAAGAAGACGAATCCCTGATCGTCCACATTCAAGTGACAAATCGGTAGTCGTAACGACAATTTCATTTCAAATAAACCAAAGTTGGGTACAGTTTTATCTAGATAAACACTTATTCGTCGCGACGTAAACAGACACTTGGCCATTGTCCCAACGAGTGTGTCTTGTACCCTATCCGCCTGATACCAGGGGTCGTAAGGCTCGTGTAGGAGTTACACGAGCTACCCTGATGTTCGAATACCGAGTCATCCATGGTTTTTGTACATACAAGTAAGTTAAACGCAGAGTACTTAAGGGGGGAACCTGAAAATAAAGTGGTTTTTAAGAGGTCTTTTTCTTGAACAAAAATAAAGTAGAAGTTTGCTAAACTTAAACTTCTTCGAAAATTCCTTTGCCATTTGAAACAGATGACTCAACTAGGCAGACTTATTCATAGGAAAACATTCTAAACCAAGTTCCCCCCTTAATGAAGCTCCAATGTGTACATATAAAAATACCGTGTATGTGGTCACTCAACTCGGTACATCTATCCTTCGACCCTGGACACACCCGACTGAGCCTGCACGTCCACTGAAACACCACCGCCACGGAGGAGGTGATGTTACGTTGTTATTCTGAAATAGACTTTGGAATAGTAACACATACAAATAAAACGTTCATTATTCGATATAGGTGCCTTGTCATAATTTGTATAGATTTCAAATTGTGTGTGAATTCCTTGTATACCTGCAAAATTACAAAAACCGAATAACGTTATAAAAATACAAAACATTCCACATTTATTATTTAGGAATACGTATAATATGGTATTCAGCGCGATAATATATATCGTGTAAGAGTTAATAAATTATTAAAAAAATGAAACAAATTTTGTAGAACCGCTGTAATGCTCAATTGCAATGAAATATCAAGCAAATATCAGTAAACATCTAAATAGACTCGAAGGACAAATACGTTAAATTATTGTCAATTTACGGAAGAATTAGTGTAAGATGTATTTAAATTGTAAATAAAGATAAACCCTCGGGACTGTATAAGCTTGTAAATTTTTATTTCATATATAAAATAAGCAAACTAGTGATGGCACTTTGAAAATATGCATACCCAATGAAAGTTACATAAGTACATACGAAATAAATAGTGTGATTGTTGCTAAAGATTTCGAAAAGTAATGGTAGAAATAATTTAAAGCAATATGCTTGCAAACAAAGATAATATCGAAGTCAGTGAAAGTGGAGAAATGATCATTGTGCTGAACGAAAGCATATTACATTCATGATTGACAATGCAAAGAAGAACCATCAAATAATTAAGTGATAATAACACATAAAGGTACAGAGTGAATTAACATTACTGAAATTTATCGGAGTACCGTACAAAGTATAATACAAGCTAGATATTTTTGTGATGCATTTTTAACTTCCTTCTGTCGATCTACGTGATACCACTTTAACAAATCACCGAAATAATATTCCGGCTTAATTAGTACTTAATTATTTATTTACATATCTCTAGAATATCCCAGCACCGGCCAAGCCTTTACCGCCGTCACAGTATATGCGTAGAATCGCATAATATATATTTAATGTACATACAAAAAATATTTAATATCTATATAATCACATAATATTTACGACTATTTAAGTAATCAATTATCCATGTCAGCCGGACTCGTTGGCCCTTTGTATTAATACTAAATAATGTTACTTGAGAATGACGTATAAAATAATAGATAGGCGCTGGTGTTTTGAGACCTCACTTGGCTCTCAGGAACTTCTGTGACTGTATGGTCGTCGTATTTGTACCACCTGGACAAGCGATATTCTATGTTTTACTATGTTCTGCATAACAGCACAAAAATTGTAAACACAGAAATTCTTATTTGGATGTTTATGCAAAATTAATGTCGTTTTTGGTAACTCAGAAATAATTTTTGCACAAATCTAATAATAAAAGCTAATCTCGATGACTGTCTATTGGAATAAATACATTCATTGACATTTCTGAAATATCAAAATATTAAAGCATTACTTACTTGTTCTGTGCAGCGTTTTTACAAAAGGCTGTATAGTGACCACCTTCCATAGTTCCGTAATGGTTAGACATAGCATACAAACTATAATTGTAGCTATGCATATTCGCGGGAGTATTCGCGTCCATAACCAGGTAAGGTTTCAAATTAAAGCCAGTGAGAGGAAAATCGACAGCGGTGTTCCTCTTCTCGAGCCAACCGCCGCTCTCGGCGAAACGATTCAAATGTATCACTATGACGGGAGCAAGTTTGACAAAATCGAACTTTTTCATAGCCTCTCGTGGCGTCTGACACTTTGGACATTTCCATCCCACTACTTTCTGGCCAGTTACGAATCTCAAAATACAATCCTAACGATAGGTAATGATTTATAATTTATATGTAAATATAGATTTCAATGATATTAGGAACTTCCGAGACTTACACTCAACGTACACCGATTGGAGTGAGGTAACGATGTCGTTAAGCTGTTAAAAGTCTCATACGTGGTACTACTCTGTTTGCAGAAGCTACAAGTAATGGTTGATCTTAGCTGACCAAAGAACAGGTCGGATATTATGGACTTTTGAGACCCCATTGCTTTATGCCACGCTTCTTCTGCAACTGTCATTTCTAATGGCGCTTTGCAGTTCTGTTAATGTAACACGGTCTATTAATGTTCGGATAGTGGGGACTACCTCTCGATTATCTACTTTTGTTTTAGTTTTTACTTGAAAGGAATATTTCACACTTCTGATAAAATTCCGCTAATGTATTCATACCTTTTTCAAGTCGTTATGCATCCAATCTAACAGAAACGTTAAAAATTCGTGAGAATCTTGTTGCTCGTAACTGTCGAATTGTAATTTGTATTGCCCCACGGCGATCTGATAACAATACACTTTAGCACGTGCACACACATTTCTCTGCTTTGTGACTGTAAATAAAGGTAGTATACCTTCAGATCGTGAGGAGAGATGCTCTTGTACTGGCCACGCCAGAGTGCTTTGATTACTTGCGCCACCTCCTCGACAACTTGACCCTGAGTGCTGTCGTCATTCGTGTTCAAGTCGTCGGTGTACAAATTGTCAGTGAAGTATTTAGCTAACTGCGTTGTATTACTCAAGCACTGTATTATACTATTCATGTAACACGAATTGCCTAAGTTCTTCAACCCAGTGATACCTGGATGCTGCAAAACAGCAACGAGAGATCACCGTAACAAAGAAAATACTTTGTCACTAGATAAAGTATCGTTAACCAAGTGTTTATCCTTATTTGAAAAATACCTTTTTGAAATAGTAAATGTTAAAGCGCGGTACAAGTTTTCGGGACAAATTGACCATTTTTCGTTCACAATTTATTTAATCATGAGATAGCAGACGTGATATTCCTTCACATGTTTCAAGATACCGAAAGGCTGGATACGGTCAAACATTCTAAATTACGATAAACACGATTATACCAAACGATACACGCACCAAACGGACACTGGTTAGGGTTTGAAATCGCGAGAGGAATAAGCGGTCGTCGGTCGTTAACGTAACCAGTGACGATAGTCGGGTAAATACTGACGCGTGTGACGCTACTTCTTCGAAAAGGTTCCATGAAATTGGATTGAGAAACCTTACAGGTGCAAAATGTTTTCGTCCTCACGTGCATACCTGCGTCACACAACTGGGAATCGCACGACTTTCGCTAATCTGAACCATGAACTCACCAGGCACGGGACGACTCCGATTTTTGTTCGAATTTGTAAAACAATAGTAAGAATTAATACTTACGACACTTCCATGAACAGGTGTCATTCTTTCTTCGCAATTCGCCCAACTATGGTGAGAGATTTTATAGTCACTGCCAGAAGATCCATTTTGGTTGTACGAAGGTACCTGGGGCTTCGAGGACCTGTCCACTCGTGGTGCTTTATGATCTATAAACTAATCAATCAACAAATAATAACTTTAAAATCTGTTTTTTCTTCTTATAACTTATGTGATATATTGAATTACTTAAATCAAGAGGATCTTACCTGTAACAAATTAGGGGAGGAGTACGAACGTTCCAAATTACCACCCATCGAAGGGCTGTCAGGTTTGAGAGGTTCCTTGAAAACATTATTTTCACTTTCCATTGTTGATGCTTCCTTATAATCATTCTTCATAGATTTTCTGCTAACATACAAATACATGAAATGGTCAATCAACTTGTTACTTTGAACACTCCTTTGATTATGTACTTTGTACTTACTCTCGTAGTTTCTTCCGTTCCGTAGCCGTATCTTTCATACGCATTTTTAATGTACCGAGATTGAGTTCGAGAGTGCTTTTCTCACTTTCTTCTGTGGCATTATACCTGATCGACTCGATGTTCGTGGAATTCGTATATTTGTCGAGTTCATCTTCGACTCTCTTGTATTCGTTTTGCTGTCACGTAAGTTTAAAGTATTAATAGTTTCGTATTAATTACATACAAAACAATGAAGCGTGAACCGTTACATAAGCGTAAGGCACCGTACATTGGTTACCTTTTCTTCTAATTTCGAGCACAGAGACTTCAGTACACCGTGAATTTCCTCGTCGTTCCAACCTATGGAGTTAACACCGTGTTGTACAAACAAAGTGCGTTCCAGTTCCAACACTTTTTGTTCCAACGCCTCTTTTTGTTTTGTAATTTCGTACAATTGCCTCATCAGTTTCAAGACCGCCTGTGAATTGGAAGGGCCCGTGTCCAAAGTAACTGGTTTGTTACTACGATCGACAATCGGTTTCGCGGGTATATCTGTTTTCTTTATCGTGCTTAATAGTTTTTTATGTTGAAGTTTCAACGAATTATCATTATACTTTCTCGTCGTAACGTCTATAGGAATTCTTTCTAGATTTATAGAAACGTTTTTGATATTGTTGGCTCGCGATGAAGTATTGTTGCTCAGTTCCGAGTCCGCATGTTTGAAGAGTATTTTGTCGCTCAGAACGTTCACGTTCGATGATACGTCCTTATTTACAAGCTTCGTACCGTTCGATTTATTTTCGCGTGTTTTACTAATACTGTCTTTGTCGTCTGAATGTATCCAATCAGGGTATTCTATGTCGTCGAGTATCTCCTTTGAAACGTTATTCGAGGCAGGCTCCGCGATAATAGGATTCGTAGTAAATGCTGGATAACGAGTTAGCCATTCCGCGTAACCGCCATCTAAAATTGTGATTTTCTTGTGTTTTACACCAGGGTCCCAATTTTCTAAAATGTTACGTAACGTGTTCAGAGGGTTGTCAGATGTTAACGTTTTACTCGACGTGTTCCAATCGAGTAAAATTGTAATGTCGACGTATTGCTGTCCTCTACATCTAAATAGTTCCACAGCGATCGGATCTCTACTGACATAGTTTTGTAAATGCATAGACGTCCGACTAAAATTGGAAAATAGAATGGTCTTATTATAGAACGTCTTATCGTCAAAAACATTATTTACTCACCCAGGTTTTATCTCGCTACTAGGAATGTTCATGCATTTATAAGACAATATTCTAGAATTGGTGTATTCAGTTTTCGATCTAATATCGATGATCAAATATCTATTGTACACATCCTGTACCAATTGATATAGTTGATTGCAGTTTATAATTTCTTCGTTGTCGCCAACTAACGGGTCCCTGGTCGGTGTTTCTGGCAAGTTTATAGGACCATCAACTAGAGCCATATAGGAATCATTACTGACTTCATCGTCCACGTCCATTTTCTCGACGCTTTTGATCTTTGATAGTTTCTCTTTCATTAGCTGCTTGTATTGAGTGTCTAACCTTTGATTCAAGTCTGCAAGTATTTTTTTTACTTCGCTCATCTACAATACAAATGTTTATATATACTTCATTGGCTAACGCTCGACGTCCCGCATTAAAACGCATAGTGCCTTCAGAACTTTACATTCGGAATACCTTCATCTGTGAACGATAAGTTTAATAAAACATACGCCACTTCCCACCTGATTATTGATATGCGCATTCTTTAACATTTTGTCGTTTCTATACTCCGGCGTACATCTCAACCAATTGATGGTGTTCACCCATCTCTGCAACATGATGTACTCGGCCTCCTCATCTCCTTTTGCTCTGTAGGTTTCGGCTAGCTTATATATTTCAGGCAGCTTGCCATAAACAATCGATGGTTTTCTGTAAATTACTTTAGCTTTCTGTTGTAGTACGAGTATACAGGTGTATTTCAATGGTGGCTTCTCTGTTGTTTTTATAGAGTTCATTGTTATCGAGGTTTGATACAATACAAATAAAGATTATACTATAAATATCCTACGATAACCTATAATGAAAGCAAATGTAAGTTAAGTCAATATAATACATCAAAACGATGATGGACAAAATTTTATTTCGATAACACGTGAGGAATAGAGACTCTGTATAATAATTAATTCACAAAAAGTATTTAAGTGGCATTTATTTAGATTTGAAGCTCCAAAACTTAGGTTAGGTTTTCCGTTATCCACTCCTGTCTCTATGTACTACGTGAATTCGTGTATCGAAACGAGTCTGGTATAAATTAAATACTTGCATTTTTGTAAGGAGAGCCCTTTATAAAGTTAGGAACTCAATCCTAAAAGCACATATCGACGAACTGATACACTACATTCGCAGAGTAATCACTAATGTAAATAATTGGAATTAGGCTGTTAATTCCCTGTGCAGCTCTGATAATCGGAATTGCGTGGTTGCATAAATGGCAAGGTTGTGATAAATCACGATATTGTACGAACACAGGCCCGAAATGACATTTCAATTTATCAACAGAAACGACAAATAACTTTTTTCCTACATTTTTCCTAAATCTAGATTAGTACAGGTCACTGGGTTTTGGGTAGTTTTAGGTTAATGGCGCCATCGGTGGGAAAATGCCCAAGTTCGATAAAGGGTCAGTATTTATATTATTAAAAATAAACAATTCGACATATTAACACGCGAGTTTATCATTTTATTATTTTATACACTTATTTTTCATTTATAATCGAATCTACATTTAGAGAAAATACCTTTACGTTACGTTTATTGCCAATAGTAATCACAGGTGTACAGTCTGAACTTCTAGATCCAATTACATATTTAAAAGTAGAAAAGCCCTTAAATAATATATTATTGTAATATATTGTACTGTTAGAAAGCAAAAACTATGGAGCATTAACTTATAGTGATAGTATTACTTACTATAATATTAGGTATAAGGAAATCAATGTAAAAATAGAAATAAGTTTCAAAGATTGTTATTAGACTACAAGTTCAATTTTTGTATGTTTTAAGTGGAAAGTAGAAGTTATCTATGCACTATAATAAATGAAAAAAAAAAAGTTTCGGTGGCGTCATCTAGCAGCAATAGCTGGAAACTATGTTTACCACAAACTTGGGCATTTTCCCACCGATGGCGCCACTAGGACTAAATAAATAAATCAGTATTTTTAAATAAAATACTTTTAACAACGTTAAATTTGACATAATCATACACGCGTAATCATCAAGCTAAATGGATTCATAATGGAATACACTTTACTTGATCGTTTACTACTGTTATTTTCTTATTATGTTTCTTATTTTTATAACGTTGTTGTTGCGTTAGATTATTCCGAACAAGAAACTTTGTGTAATAATTTTACTTCTTTATATATGGCTGACTTTCGTAGCCAGGTATTACATCGCGCCGAAAATATCGAACGAAGAGGACTTAGGAGAACCATAGACGTCGAACGTGCTAGCATCACAGACGAGTTTATGATTATAGACCTTCCCTGTGCTACGAATTTCTGTCGGAAGTTACTTAACACGCGATAATGAACTGTCTGCAGCTGTTGGTCCTACACTTGCAACCTTGTGATTACTAATAACTATTACAGGATATTAAAAGTAAATTAAAAATTGTATTAAATAAGACAATAAAGTAATGATTTTCTTTACTTGAGGAAATTAGAGGGCACAGAAAGCCCTAATATGAAATAAGAAGGATGAACATTTCTTAAACATATTTTGTCTCGAAATTTGAGACACGTAGAACCTTCCAACAGTCAATCTTTCGAGTGGGGCATTTTTTAAACATCCTTTGTTTCGAGATCTGGGACACGTGAGAGCTTGCAACATGATAATTTTCAAAAATTCATCGATTACCTTTGGACGAAACCCGTTAGAAGCATAAAAGTCTTTTCAGTTTGAAATACAATGCGGTGTCTATGAACAACATTGGTGGCCATTGTATGTTACTGATATCGTTAAGGTGCATCGTATACGATGCCATACAATGGCGTGGAGATAAGAAAAGCATAGCCACTGCGACTCAGAATGGTTCCGAAACGTATATGACGTCTGTATGGAAACGTCATCGTATAGGTACATTTGCAAGATAAAAACTACGTCACTGTACACGGCTCCACGAAGTGGAAAGGGATCACACAATAATTCCTGAATATCTATTGTGAATACATTTTACAATCGTAAGTACCTCGCTTCGTATGCGAATGTCACCCCTTAATAACGGCCGTACGATTTCGATTTAAAAATAAAATTGGGCAATAAGATTAGAGGCGCAATTTCTGTGATAGAAATCCCCTTTGCATTCTTCATTGGCGATTGTATTACGGCCTGATTTTCTACAACGTCACTTTCTTTCAAACTCTTGGACAATTGGTTGAAAGTGGAGCACCCTCTTTGTTCCATTTTTGATTATGTATAGCTGCTGGCATCACATTCTTAAGATTGCCAACTCTTGGAAACTGAACGTTTCTTTTCTAACCCAGTACCTCGATAACCCAATAGATAATCTGGAACAGAAATACAGTCACCAATATCCGAAAATTGGATAAATAATGCAGTCAAACGTGCTACACAGGCTACGCTAAACTGCATCGATCGCGTTACAAGTTTGTTAAACTAACGCAAAGAAATTGTTAAAGTTCAACATGGAGCTTGTGTGATCGATCGACACAAGCATGATGTGTTAAGGGGGTATCCTGAATTAGAAGGTCTAAAAACAGCGGTTTTTCGTGAATTGTTTTAAGATGGAAAAACATAATTAGTTCTATCGAACTTTTTATCTTACTTTCATACATATTTGAGTAGTCTGTACAAATTTTTTCAACAAGAAATATTCAAATTGAGTCGAGTGTGACGCATATTTGTAGAGCACCTCACAATTAAAACCTCCTATCGGCGGGAAAGATGCAGGTCGTAATTTTTTTTTCACAAAAAAAAAAAAAAAAAAAAAAAAAAAAAACAAAAGAAATTTTCATTTTCATACATTTTTCTTCTATGTGAACTAAAAAAATTCGTACAAAAAAAATTTTAAACAACTTTTTCATCAAGTTAAAATGACTTTTTTCACCTAAAGAACTCGTTCTTTTTTTCAAACTTGCAATAATTTCACATTTCACCATTTTTGCGGGTTTTTTTTAGTTCACATAAAAGAAAAATGTATGAAAATGAAAATTTCTATTGGTTTTTTTTGTGTCAAAGCGAAATTACGACCTGCATCTTTCCCGCCGATAGGAGGTTTTAATTGTGAGGTGTTCTATACAGTGGGTGTAGAATGTATTCGTACACCGATCGATTTCCCAAAGAACTTTTGTGTGAAATTGTAGTTTCTTAACTTCTTTGTTTATAATCAATGATATTTTACATATTCTCGGAAGTCTCTAAAATTGATATAGTCCAAACAACATTTACTAGTTGATATAATTTGTGAAATTAACAAAAAAAAATGCAAAAAGTGGGTAAAGTATAGAAGCAATAAGTATTTGTACGACTCTTATGACTAGACTGCGGATCTATATGCAAAATAAAATCTTCGCGAAGGTGCCTACAAAGATTAAACCTACATAGGAATTTATTTTATTCTGCGAATATTACAACATGATTAATAAGTGATACATGCACAGTATTTTGTATTTTATGTTACATTACTGAATTGTGCACGATTCATTTTGCTCCATTACTGTTACAACATGAATATCTATGAAATTAGATTGTCTATTTATATAAACACGACCACATAAAATAATTGAGTGCAACTCGCGAAAGAAACATTCGGGACAACCTAATAATTTGTGTTGAATTAAATACAAACTCTTCAACGGTGCATTATCAACTTGGTAAGAAATTGAAAATACATTTCGATTGAATGTTCCTCGTTGTTTGAGTCCCAGTGCGGGAAAATGGTGAAAATTTATACACAGCGGACGGAGATTGTGTAATTGAATGCGCACGGGAATAAATTACCGAGTTCACGCGGAAATAAACTTGATGGACAAACACGATGACCGGGCGTCGAGTGGCACAGGTGTTTGCAGTCGCGCAATTTTGCTGATTTCAACGAAAGTTTAGCGAAACGTTTACGCTTTCCCAAGTGAGGCAACTTCGGGGCGACGAAACGAAACTTCGTATCGCTAATGAATATTTGTTAACAATCCTCGCGCGATAATTCTGTTTCTTTAAATATTTCTTCGAGCACTATTTCGAACGGAAGACGAATTATTTTTTCTTAACGTTCTGGTCCGAGTTCGGTCGAGTTTTGTAGGTTGATTATTTTATAGAACCCTGTTATCGGGAATGTTTTTGATCTGAAATTATGATCCTTGAAGTTTCTTCGGCGTTAAATACAGCGAACGAAATAACGGAGAAAGTTTGCCGCGGTATAGGTTTTACAAACGGTATTGCTTTTAGAAAGCAATATTTCAACGGCTGGTGAAGTTTCCTCGGACGTATCGTTAATCGGTTTCCGTTTCGATTTAACATTTTATTAAAAAACTACGCGAGGAGTTCTAAATAGTATTTATAGATACTGTGCACACTGTAACTAAACACAACTGAATACAATACTGAATAGACTTGTGACTCCAGATTAATTGAATATCTTTCAAGCATTGAAATTAATGCAAGAGTCGTGTAATAATTGAATAATATTTTTGTTAGTTAAAAAAGTGTGCTGAAGCCAGTGACTAAATACAACTAAATACGATAAATATCACAAATAAATACGACAAATAATTGAATATTTTTCAACCATTGAAATTAATGTAGTCGTGTTATAATTGAATATTATTTTCGTTAGTTAAAAACGACTTAAACGATTGTTAGCGATAACACCGTTCGTATAATTTTATCCCATTCGCACGATCTTTTTCGAAGTGTACTTTTGTTAATTAATTACCTTTTCGAAGGCACATTTCGTCTTTGTTCCCAAAAAATTTCGTAGACTTTATCGTGCACTCGACACTCGCGTTCCGTGCCGCCATTTCTCACATTTAAGGCACAGTCCCCTTCCTCCCCCGCGCTCCGTTTGTCTCATAATAGTTTCCTTTGCTCTCGACACCGCCTTTCAGCCTTTTTTCATTATCTTTCGGTAAGCTACCTTTTCGTACTTGACTCCGAAAGCTATTTAAAGCCAACCTTGACTGTTGTCTCTAAATATATTTCTAACCAAGTTTTAGTCACTTCAACCAGATCAAACTTCGATAGCGCGATAATATATGAGGATCAGGTAATCAAAATTAAGTTGAACAATGACGCTTCATCAACTTTATGTGAACTAGTTGCTCTTCAACAGGGTATCAAGCTTACACTAAGTGGAGAAAGAGCGAAATATACCATATTCTGCGACTCAACAAATATCATCCAGTCTATCGAAGATACTTCCAAGTATGAAGATATAGTCATTACGTGCCAAGATATGTACGCGTCGTCGTTGAAGAAAGGAAACAAAATTGTCATCATATGGATTCCATCCCATGTTCGAATTGAGAAAAACGAAATGGCAGATAAATATGCTAAAGAAGCGGTATAATTCATCGACAGAAAATTTATTTATACCTCTTTCCATGGAGAGCAA